CGTTTGTCTGTCTGTCCCGCAGTGTTGCGCCTGGGCAGCTCGGCCGAGGCGTTGGAGGCGGCGAAAAGGGCCATCCACCTGTCAGACATGGTGCTGCGGTTCTGCATCACCCTCAGCCACCTGAACAGGGCCATGTACTTCGCCTGCGACAACGTCCTCTGGGCGGGAAAGACGGGGCTCGTCCCCAGCGTGGACCAGGAGAAGTGGAGCCAGAGGTCCTTCAGGTGAGGGGCTTGCCCCGAAAGCTGCTGCCAGCGAGCAGTGAGCGCGCTTCCCCAGGCAGAGCAGGTTTCTCATCTCCCTTTTGCTGCCCCAGGGGTAGATGAAGGGGTCTGAGCTCTCTGCGGAGCGCTGCGTGCAGGGGCTTGTCCTCTCCTTGCTCCGTACCGATGGCAGAGAGCAGCGTTGTAGGAGCTGGCGAGTGCTCAGCCCCTCAGCCGTCAGTAGAATGTAGACTTATTCTTTCTACAGGCATTTTATTTTGGGGGCTGAAGGGGAGGTGGCTGGAGGCTCCCAGCATCGCAGACCGTGGTTCCCAGCACTGTTTACCTGCTCGCTCTGCTCTCCCCCCGTTCCTGTCCCCTGTTTTTCAGGTATTACCTCTTTGCCCTCGTTGTGAACCTGAGCCGGGACGCCTACGAAATCCGGATCCTGATGGAGCGTGAGGCAGGCGGGAAGCGAGCGAAAGGCAACGAGAACGGACGCCTGCTACGGGCTGACAACGGGTTCCAGCAGCTGGGGCTGAGGCTGCAGATCCAGCTCCGGCTTCTGATCCATGTCCTTCGGAACAACCCTCCTCTGCTGCTGGACGTGGTGAAAAACGCCTGCGACCTTTTTATCCCCCTGGACAAGCTGGGGCTGTACAAAACCAACCCGGGCTTTGTGGGGCTGTGCGGTCTCACCTCCTCCATCCTCTCCATCCTCACCATCCTTCATCCCTGGCTGAAACTGAAGCCTTAGTTGTCCTCGGAGCCTGTCTCTGGGCTCGAAGCCAGCGTAGGCAGATACTTGGGGACGCCGGGGGGGTTACTGCTGAGGCTGGGACCCGATGAAAGCTGACTGTCTCGGTCCTGTTGTGTGCGGCTGCACGTTCACGTCACGCCTGGCTGCTTTAGACCGACAGGCCGTGCAGACAGGAGGAAGGTGGAGGGCGTTCGCGGCGTCAGAGCCCGCAGGGACCTGCTCCAGCTGCCTCAGTTCCCTGCGTCATCGACGAGGAGAGTGATACTCCACGGACCTAAATTTGGTTCTCCTCATTGACTGTAGGGCCTGTCTGGCTGTGTTTGGGGGTTTAACTTTTCCCCTCTCTCTAGGGGGGGTCTCTTAACCTGGAACCAGCCAAGATGGAAATGTTCGGGGCCGGAGAAGGCTTTTTTTGGGTGCTTCTCCCAGACTGGGGGGGGTTTAAACCACGGGGTGGGTGTGAGTCCAGCGCTGGGGGGGTGTGAGTCCAGCGCTGGCCGGGCGCGTCCGACGCCTGTTTTGACACTTTATCTTCCTTTTAAGAAGTCAGAGTGCAGAGAGAGGTTGAGTTGAAACAATTTTGGCCACAAATGAGCCGTACCCAGCTGGGCTTTTGGAGGTGAACTCGGGGTAAGTCCGGGGGGTCTTGGCCGGTTTGAGGTGAGATCAGGGCAGGGTATTTCACCGTAGGAGAATATTTGTTTGTCTGCACCTTCCCCGCAATCCCAGTGGGGAAGAAGCGACTGCAGCGAGTCACACCGAGCTTTGGGGTCGCTCCCAGCCCTCCTCGTGTGGATTTCTCTGCATCTGAGAAGAGAAGGGGGACTCGGGCGGCCCGAGCTCCTCCATGTTGCTGTGAAGAAGCCAAAACCTGTGCATCCGCCTCCCTCCCTCTGCCCGGAGCCGCGCAGGTTCACCCTGCTGAGCCTTCGCTGCAGTTTGCTTCTCCGATGTCCTTTTTAGTGGCTTTTTTGGGAATAAATCGAGGAAGGGGCAGCTCGTTGCCGTGATTCCGTGTTGGTTGTTCCCACCTGCTATTCCCTCTGAGCTGGCATTGCCGCTTTACTAAATTTTCCCATTTTCCTTGGTTTCTGTGACACCAGATAACGCTGCTTATGCCAGGCGATGGGCTTGACCGGGCTCTAAAGAGCGTTTTACTTAAGCCAGGGCTAAAGGACAGGCTCAGAGCTGGTGATTATTTGTATCCAGAGGTGGGGTGTCCCTTGGTCCATCCCCAGGAGGGTGACACGGAGGGAGGGAGCGATGCTGCGTGGTTTTAAAACCCACTGGCGGGTTGTTGTGGGGGTTTTTTTGGAGCTCTAGCAGCTCTGTGCACAAACATCTCGGGCTTCACCCACTTCCAGGTACGTCTGCACGGTGACACAGGTTTGTCCCGGGCTTGGAAAACCACGGTTCCCTCGCTCGAGAACTCTGCCTCGGGTTTTTTAGTCCAGACTCGGCTCCAGAACCTCCCTGGCGTTTTCCGTTCGGCGTTTCCCGGCTTTCTGTGGGCTCTGGGGTGCTACGGGCAGGGGAGAGGCCAAGTCGCTGGGACAGCATGGGTGAGTACGGCCCAAAACTGAGCTCGACTACCCGGAGCTTTAGCAAGAGGGAGTTTCATTTGGCTGGGTAACGAAGGAGGCGGCAGCGGGGTGTAAGAACCGGGTCGTTGCGTTCGTGAACCGACTTGGTCAGGGAAGGCGCGGGGCGAGGTACTCTGACCCCGGCATTTGGACGGCGAGAACTGCGCCCCAGTTCCCCTCGCCTCGTGGTAAAGGGCTCGAGCAAAACCTCAGCTTGGACTCGGAGACTTTGAACTCTTGACGGAGAAGGTAAATCA